GGGCCCAGAACCACACCCAGGACTCGCCAGGTCCATTTGTTTGTGGGGCCTTGGGTATGCTGGTTGTGGAGTGGTTGGCTTGCAGTGGTGCATCGGGGTGCTTGGGGTGTGGTGGGATTCTCAGAGGTCTCGGGCCATTCTGCTGCTCAGAACTCTTCTCTGTTGCCTGGAGCAGAAAGCCCACATCCCTTAGCACAGCTTTCAAGGCTCCTCCCAGTCACTCAGATTGTGGGGCTCCGGGTTCAAATCCTGCTCCTCCACCAGGGGAAAGTGGGGAGAGAATATATTTGTTCTGTGGCATGGGAGGTGTTCAGGTATTCGCTTGCAATTGGAAACCAGATTTGGACAGCAAGGGATGCCTGTTGTTGGAGGGGCCTGTGCCTCCAGCATGTGAATTGGGCTGAGGGACTGCAGTGACCCTCAAGCCCCGGTGGTTGTGTGACCACCTTGGGATCATAAAGAAACCTTACTCTTTAAAAGGGAGTGGGATCAGTCCTCTTTGGAAGTTTCCCGGCAGTGGGGGAAAAAAAAACATTTGCAGGGAATTTTTGGAGCTTTAGTCAGTCGTCTGAAGGCACCTCACACTTTTTAGGTTGACTGTACCTCAGAGGCCTAGAGGAGGCAGCTGGCTGGAGTGGGCCACACCACCCTGTGCCAGGCCTGTTTTCTATTTAGAAAAGAATTTTAATTCGTTTTATGAAACTGTATGAATCACCAAACTCCGTGCCCGATTTGATTCTGCTTTTTGCAGTTCATATATGTATGGATACATGTTGTGGGGAGAGCTCAGATGTCATCTGCTGTTACCTGCAGACTGTTAACAAATAGGTTTCTGGGTGGCTTCTAATCTTTGATCTCTGTTCTATAATGAACAGAGAAGAGTTAAAATTCAGAGCCCTCAGAAAAGAGGACGACGCTATTCATGCAGGAGCTGCTGTTCCCAGTCTCTGTGCCCCGCCCCCACCCCTGCCTGGCATGGGTGCCCAGGCCGGGGAAAGCAGCTTGGAGGAAGGCCCCGGAGGCCATCTCCTCTGACCCCTCCCTTGGGAATGCGGGGCAAACCGAGGCCAGAGCGAGAAGGGACTTGTCCATGGGCTCCCAGCTAGGACCTGAGCCCACGTGGGGGGGCTCTGGCCTCTGAGTCCAGCGCTTTTTCCTCCCCTACTCCGGTGGGAGAGCTCTACCCCAGGCCTCTACCGCACTGCCAGGCAGTAGGGCAGTAGGCCTCACTGAATGTCAGGGGGCTTCCATTAGGCTTGTGTGTTTTTGGAAACCGCGGGGAGAGGCCGATTCCTAACAATCCATAAAGGCCGGGCTCCAGATGGCCAGGTTCGAGCAGGTCTTTGAATTATAAAACTCATAATCATTTATTGAACACCTGCTGTATGCCTCACATTGTGCTGGGTTTTCTTAGAGGTGGGTAAAACAGCTCCTTCCGTGGAGGTGGAGAATGGGGCCAGTGGTGGATTGTAGCTGGGGGTGGGGGGCAGGGCTGGGGTTGGCTTAAGTTTTGTGAACAATTATTGCTTAACTCTTTGTCACCCTATAACACCAGTTGCTGCTTTTTATTCTTCATACTATAATTCTGGGTCATTATTTTGCTTAATTTTGCTGCTTTAAGTGATAACTCACCTCAGCTTCCTGCTACCTTAGTCACTGCTAACATGACCTTCCTTTCATTGGAGGGCAGCAAAAATCATTCTCCACCCAGATGTCAGGGAAGTACACCATCCATTTACTAGAACCATGGTTACCACGGCCCTGACATTCAAAGACCACAGACTCTCCCACCCCCACTTCCTAGAACCATTGACTCACTCTTGATTTCTTAGGAAAACGAGATCTTAGAGTGAAGGAGCTTTGTAAGTCATGCCCCTAGGTTCAAGTTTTCATTTAAGTTTTCAAAAAAAATTTATAAGATATCCTTGCATTATATACTTAGAGTATAGAGAGTTGTTCTATGTCACTAAGAAAAAAAGGTCAAGTACCCAAATAGCAAGGGCATGAATGTTTTACCATAAGAGTAGATTTACAAATGGCTGGTGTAAACTATTTCAAAAGGCAGTGGTTCCAAAATTAAGTCAAAATACCAAAGAAATGCCATTTTGTAACAACCAAGTTGTTAGCAAACACATCATGCCTATCCATTAAATTGGTTAAATAATACCTTTATATAGTATTAGGTGTATTTAAAGATCATGTTTTCTTTGACCATTTAATGGGGGAGTGGGTAAAGTGCTCATGACATTATTTTAAAAGATGCAGTGACTAATTTTTACTTTGCTGTGTTCTATAATAGGGAAGTGCTTTATACTAAATGATAAATGCTAATTTAAAGAATCTAAATGGTAAAGCTTCCAGATCTTTAAAAACAAAGCATTGCTCTGAGCTGAAGGCTCTGATAGAGAAGGTCTGGACTCTATGAGGAGGACAGATGGAAAAGGCTCATTGTCAGCCTGCTCTTCACATGGGTATTTCCCCATCTGTAAAGTGGGGGTGCTGTGTCTTTATCAGAGGCCAGCCGGGGTTCAGGGAGGGATGGCGTGAAAACACCCAAGCACGTAGCCCCTGCCATCCACGCCACGAGGGCTGGCCTCCTCCAGATCCTTCTTGGCCCCAGTCAGGACTCTGTCCTGCTCTCTCTTCAGCATCCAGGAACATGTCAGCGCCACGTCTGTTGAATAAAACATTTAGTCAGTGCAAGAGACAGTTTTGGTTTTCTCAGATTCGTCGCTCCTTCCCACCCTCTGATCATGCTTGCTGGACAGCACACCCTGCTTGACTGGTGGGCGTGAACAAAGAATAATTGGAGAAAGATCGTGTCCTGGGAGGGCACCTTTGTTTTGTAAAGATGTCAGTGTCCTCCAAATTTTTGAATGCATAGGAACTTCTTTTTTTTTTTTAGTAGGGAGGTGACTTTTATAAATGATCTGAGGTTTGGACGGCTAAGAAGATAAAAATAAGAAAATTGCCATTAAAGATTTGAAGGAGGTAATAAAATACCTTGTAAAGCTCTGATCATCACACTGGAATGATAGAGACATAGCACAGACTTAAATGCTCAGAAACAGACCAGAGCTTTTGAAAGAATTTTGTCATTGATTACAAATGAGTTGATTGGGAAGATCGTACTTAGGCAGTTCAGTGTTTGAGGAGTGAAGTCCATATTTACTAAAATAAGCTGCTGAAGGGTTAAAGTGTTAAACAAAACTGATTTCTGAAAGAGTTTGAAGAAAATACAAGTGTTTACCTTGTCCTGATTTTTTTTTCCTTAAACTTTTCTGCTCCTGCTGCTTACAGCGTAATTGTTGGCTATAAATCATGAAAAGTTGCATTTTTGCAGAACCACCAACCACAAGCAAACAGTGCAGCTAATGGACAACCTGGCATGTCCCCAAGGCGGCCCTCATCCCAGACAGTGCTGGGCTGGGGGCTTCTCCTAAGTGGGGCTATGGCCTCAAACCTGGAGAGGTGGGAAGACCTAACCTGTGGTGTTTGGCGATGTTTGTAACATATTATAGGACAGTTGGCAGAATCACTGAGTACAGAGAGGGTTGCTTTTCTATAGGCAGAATCATTTTGAAATGATGGGCAGGAATGGGCAGTCCAACCCTGGCCCCTTCTCTTTACCTGGGGTCTATTAAAACAGCCACTACATGGCCATACTGAGTTCTCCTTGCTTCCAGATTGCTGAGCTTTCCTGGTTTGCAAACACAGCCTGTCCTGTCAGTCAGTCCTCCACAACCCTGACAAGCAGGCAGGACGATAGCAATCACCCCCTTTTACTGGAAACTTAACGTTGAATGGCCAAATGGCTTGCCCATGGTCATCCCTTGCTAGTAAAGGCAGTATCGCTTGAACCCAGATGTGTTGGTTCCCAGTGGTATCTGTTCATCTTGTGCACACGGTGTATTCATGGAATTCACTCTTTCCTTCCATCAAAATTGCAAGTTATTTTGATGGTTCCTATTTTCTGGCTGAGGAAAGCGAAGCAGAAGTGACTTCTTTACAGTGGTGATGATGGCAGACTGCATCTGTAAGAGAAGAAGAGGCTTCCTACTTCCTGACCTAGGGAGTTCACTTTTGTTCCAGAGAACCAGTCAGACTCGCGGGAGATGATTGGTGATTCAGTTTCACATTCTCAGTCCTGGGGTTTGGAGGTGGCTTCCTGCAGGAGGAACAACTGGGAGGTTTAGAATCAGAGGGGAGGAGCAGGGTACAGGCCCAGGTGAGGCAGTCAGGCCTGTGACTTCCTGAGCAGGCTCACCCTGTGAGCACGGGGCCAGGCACAGACACACTGGCCACATGAACAGGTGGGACACAGATTGCCTGGAGGAGGGCCAGACTGGGAAGGGCAGCATCTGTTCACCCCTGGGAGACATTTGTTGAGGCAGATGTACCAGGTAAATGCTGGAATAGCAGCATTTAAAAAGAAAAATAATGACAGCGCCCCGCCCCCCCCCCCGGTGCCCCATCCAGTGGCCCACCTCACCTCCTATAGTGCCCAAGAGCTTAATGGGGCCCAGAGCGTGTCTGCCCTACTTTACCCTCTCCAGGGACATTTCCCAGTTGAGCTGTCTGTTTATTCATTAAGTCACGGATATGTATCGATCTTCCGCTCGGCACAATACACCAGCCTCTTGGAGAGGGCACATACGTTTATACAGCACCTCTCTGCCCTGAAGGCACTTCGTAAGGCAGCCAGTTGGGCAAGGCAGGGCGTCCTTACATCGGTAACAGTGGCTGCATGTTGGCCCCCCTCTACTGCTCTGCAGTGCACGTGCACAGTGGTGGGTGTTGTTCTCCCATTTTAGAGATAAGGAAATAGAGGCTCAGAGAGTTCATCACTTGCCAAGTAAGTGACAGATACCACCTAGGAAGGTGGTATTTGAGGAGGGTCTGTGGACGTGGGTGGACAGAGAGATTCAGGGGCCAGGGTCCCAAACTCTGTGTCTCATTGTGAGCATGGCTTCTGACTCTCCACCTTCTTGTGTCCACAGAGCGCAGCAGCCGCCCCGAGCCCCGTGCTTGGCAACATTCCCCCCAACGATGGGATGCCAGGAGGCCCCATCCCACCGGGTTTCTTTCAGGTATGTGCTGGGCTTGGTCCTGCGCTCCTTTCACTCCAGGCCAGGCCCAGGCAGGCAGGAGGGAGGGAGAGAGAAGTAAGCAGTAGCTCAGTTTGCCATGGTCTAAATACGGTTGCTTTGTGCTGGTTCAAACCCTTCCCTTCCCATCCCTTTCTGCACCCCTTAGAAAGCTGAGGAGGGGAGAAAAGAGATGGAGAGCAGACACCTTCTGCATGTGCTGTGTCACTTCTGTTTTCTTCCCACCAACCTTACAGTCATGACACAGCCTGCCCCTGGTCACCCCTGTTCAGGAGGCTGAGGCTGCTTCCAAGTCCGTGTGGAAATGTCTTTTAACAAAAGGCTTTTTTTCTTTTTAAAACAAGTAAACTGTTCTCTGTTTCTGTTTCGTGGCTGCTGTCATTGTCGTTGTTTACTCTGCCTGTCCAAACTACAAACCTTAGGCGTAATCTAAAAAAACAAAAAACCCACCATCCTGGCAGGTCTTGGAATCCTTTGCCTCTGGTTGACCACTTGATTTTTTCCGAGTGTGATCATAGACCTCCCACAGCATCTGTGCCTGCACTCTGCCCACCAAAGGCAGGAGCAGCTCCCGCGTGGGTCCAGAGCCCAGTCTTCTCCAAAAGACACCTTGTGGGGCACTGAGGGGGGCACTGTCAGGGTTGTGCACTCTCTGACAGGGTGGTGCAGCGTCCGCCCCCTCTGCAGCTCCTCCCCCATCTCTACTGTCCCCTCTAGGGGACTCCTTTGATTTAAATCAGATTGAGGTTGGGAAATGTCTTGGGAGGTGTCAGTGTGCAGGACTGGAAGGAAGTTTATGGGGAAGCTGTTCTGTTGAGTGTAACATCTCATTCTTTCAAACCTGTTTGCAGCTAGGTTTGGGAAATTGCCTGAGTTCCACACACCTTTTGAAAGCTTTATACTTACAGATAAGGTCATAGAAAGAGCTGCTGTATAGAAAAGAAGGCAGAGATTTCTTGGTGAAGCCCAAGAATTCAAAACTGGGACCACTGGGGCAGAGTCCAAGAAACCTCATTGGTATAAGCCAGAATTTTGTACTGTTTAGTGCATCCACTGCAGGAAGCTGGAGCTCCCTGGCATTGGAGATAGCTGAGCCCAAATGGGACAAACTTCTCAGGGATGTTAATGGGATTTCCTCCCTCGGTGGGAGATGACCTACAAGATAGTTCTATCTTGTAAGAGTTCATATTTTGGTTGATGTTAACTCCCAGGAAAGGAGGGTTAGGACATGCTGCATACCAGCCAAAAGGGAATTGGTGAAATTTGGGTGTTCCTCAAAGACAGAAAAATAGGTCTCCCACCAAGATGGCTGTGAGGAGCTGAGAGGGACTGAGGGGTGGCAGTTTAAGACATTGGATGGGCATACTATGTGCATCAGTGTGCATTGCTAGCATGCTTCCCAAACTGGGGCCTTATCCCAGAGATGGAAGGTGGGGACAGCCTCAGAAATCAGTGTGCAGGCTCCAGGTTGGACCAGACAGGCATTGCCTGGGGTTCAGCTTGGGGTAAGGCCAGAAGCATTGCGAAGAAGGGCTAGACTTCTAAGAAAGGAAGATGTTTGTTTAAATACTTTGAAACCTCTGGACCCAAGAAAGATAGGAGCCAGGTAAGCATGTGCCCTGCCTCTAGAGGAGAACCCCAAGGGGCTTTTACCTGAGAGGGTCATCTGTGCCAGGCACAGCCATCTTCCTGGCCACTGCAGATGGGCCTTCTGCACCCAGCTAGTGGTCTTTCCCCCAGGAGTTCCATTTGGTTCGCACTTCTTTCCCAGGCTCAAAAGTCCTCGCCCAGAATGCATGCCCTGCATGTGTGGCTTTCCTGCCCACCTTAGTACCAGTCTCTACCTGAGTGTGCAGCCCTACCGAGTCTGCTTGCTGGCATGTGAGTGCCCAGTGCGGGTCACTGCGGTAGGAAGAGGTGGACAGTAGCCAGCTGTGTTTTTTAAAATGGCCATTGAATTCTATTTTAGCCTGAGTCTGGGGCGAGGCGAGGTCGGCCTGATATGTGGGCAGCTCCCAACTTCCTGCTTTGGTATAATTGTCCATGGTTAAGGCCTAATTCCAGACATAATTTCTTGGGCCCTCCCCTGTGACGTTCAGGGGCGGGTGGTGAGAAAGTCCAGACTGATTTCTGTCCTTATTTAGCCACCACCAGCCACCATCAGAGGAAACTTTTGGACCCCCTTGACTTGAGGTCTTCTCTGATCCTAAGTCAGTATGAACTGTCAGTAGCTGGCTGGGTCATTGAGCAGGGAGCTGTGTGCCTGGCCTCTCTGCTTCCTGGGTGATTTTGGTCGGCTTTGCCCCCTGCCCTGCCCAGGGCATCATTTCCCAATCAGGCAGATGGAGACAGATGGGGTCCCTCCTGGCTATGATGCTGAACCGCTCAGTCTGGGTCAGTGTGGAGGGGAAAGGGTATCTCTCTGGGAACAGGTAGTGACTGCCTGTTTCCGGAGCAGGCCAGCTCACAGCAGGAATATTAGCTATTGATTGCTGGTCCTGCCCCTTGCTCATCTTGCAGGCAGCCACTCTGATATTAGAAGGGAAGTAGAGATGGTATCAATGGTTTTATCTGCTGCCAACAACTGCACTTCTTCCTCATACTTGGCCACAGCTCTGCTGCAGGAGGGTCTTTGCGCCAAGGAGCCAGCTTGGGTTGGCTCATCACGCTTTGGCCAGCCCCTGTCTCAAGGTAGCCAGCCAGTTCTCAGGTCAGGACTCCACCCCCAGTTGGTGCTAAATTTAGAAGCCAGCAGAGCCTCCAGGGTAGACGGGAGGGAGCAGCTGTCCATCCCCCACCCCAGCCCCTCAGAAAGCAACACGGGAATTCCTTCCTCAGGCCTCTGACTTCCTCCTTGCGTGGCTGCTCCCAGGGTCAGAAGTTTTGGCCATCTCCATGTGCAGTTCCGTCTGTTTGTGTTCTCATATTCAGTGTTGAGGTTCCCAAGTGGACGGTGCCCGACTAGTCCTGTGGCATGAGATGTATCTGGTGGCAAGTTGAGGGCTGTAGGAAGGTGGTTTGGGACCTGACTTGACCATACCTCAATGCTGGGGAGTCTTGTGAGGTTCTTGGAGTCATGGTAGAACTTAGCAAGGACATTCTAGTTCTGTGTTCCTTATAAAAAGATTGCTTTAATCTTGGCATCCCCAGCACCTGGCATGCACTGGGGACCTGGAAAATGTTTGAACTGAGTTTATTTGTGTTGCTTATGTTACCAGGAGGGGAGCCCAGCCAGCTCCAAAGCTCTAGATGCAGCATTCTGACCAGGCTTGGCAGGCCCAGGGGTGCTGTTCTGGAGTGGAGACGGATGCAGAGGACTAGAGATGGAGGACACTTCTTCTAGTCCCCTGCTTGCCCAGTACTTGCTGAGTGACCTTTGGCAAGTAGCTCCCCATCTCTGGGCCCCAGTTTCCTCACTAGTAGATGAAGCAGGGTGGACCAGATGGGCTTTGAGGGCCCTTCCAACTTGGATTTTCTGCTTTGGATCCAGATGGATTTTACATAATCAAGCAGTGGCATTTTTTTTCATGCAGCTTAAGTCAGTTGGGCTGCACATCTGGCAAATGCAGCTTGGCTGTAGCCAAGCTTACTGGTCTGGGTGGGTCCCCCGCTCCTTGGCCCAAAGGTGATTCTAATGGAGGCACTGTCCAATGAGGATTTCTAGGTCCAGAGCCAGGAATTGTGGGAGGGCAGGGGTCAAAGAGAACAGAGCATTGGGTACAGGCTGTTTTTGTTCTTGTTTTGTTTTAAATTCCAAAAATTGTTTTCAGTTATGTGGTGTTTTTAGACATGCAACTTACTTTCATTTTGATCATAGTGTTTCTGCAGAGGAGGCATGCTTGACTGGGAAAGTAAGACTGAGAAAGGTGAATGACCTGCTCAGAGTTATCAGCTGAGGTCTATAATCAGAGTGTAAGCCCAGGTTTCCTGGTTCCTGATCTTAGTTTTTCCACAGGAGTCAAAAGTTCATATATAGATACATGTCTGATTGGCTAAAGGAAGAAGAGAAAATAGAGAACAGAGGAAAAGGAGAGAAGTAATGGAGAGAGAAAGAGAAATTATAGCCGTCTTCTCTCAAAAGCAGGCAGTGTTTCCATTCATACGTCAGCTCTGATTGGTTAGTAGTAGCTGCTTAGAACACTGTGTTGAGAATGATTCTGAAGCTGTGTCTAAGCTCAGCAATGACTGATGGGCAATGTCTACAATGAACATAGACAAGTAAATGGTAGTACATGTCCTGTGTATTTTCTATCCCCAAACTAGACCAGGCTTTTCATTTAAAGATGTGGAATGGAGGCACAGAGGCAGACGGGACTGTGGTCGGTGATAGTTCTCAGCCACTCCCTGAAGGCATAGGGCTTGGCTCTAGGCCAGAACTGAGTCATCCTTTGTCTACCTGTGGAGCACAGTCTGACAGGTAAACCTATGCCCTGTAGCAGGAAGTGGAGAGGCATGCCTACCCAGACAGAAGACCAGGAGGGGCCTCCTGGAGGCAGTGCTGTCTTGGTTGAGATGGTGTCTAGAATGAGGTGGATGAAGGTGTTCAGTGGGAGATGAGGATGGAGAGTCTGCTGGCAGTTGTCGATGGACCCTGTTGAAGAGCATAGGCTACATTCAGCAGGTAGTGGGAGCCACTGGAGCATTCCAGTCTGGAGAATGCCTTGGCCTGGTCTGTGTTCCAGAACAGTACAGTGCACCTGCTCTGTCAGCTCTGCGGAGGCTAGGGACCTGATGAGGGACACAGGCAGTGCAGAGACCCAGCAGAGGTCTTAGGGCTGAAGCCTCTGCCTTCTCTGGAAAAGACAGTTCTAGGGTACCAAGTTCCCTTTGCCCAAAGCTCAGCCCATCCTGCTCTGAGCCTCCCCAGATACCCTGTGCTGTGGTGGGGGACAGTCCAGATTGACATGCTCCCCCGTTCCAGTGAGTCCTCGTTCCTGCCAGCCTAGCCCGCCTGCCCTGGAAAGAGGTTGAGGTGTGCCCCC